TTCCGGTTGTCTCCCAAGCGAAGTGAGGAGAGCAGAGACTCTTTTACAACCACATTTTGCAGACAAGGCAGTTGAGGATGGGAAGGGTGACCCCTGTGCCAGCCTGAGACTGAAGGTGGAGGCCTCCTATCCGCGGCTGAAGGCAGCCTCTCTGATGGCAACTGGACTAGGCACTGATCTATGAATATAGCAGAGCATCATTAGGAATCATTTCATTGACTTTTTATTTATTTATTTATTTATTTTTTTTTTTTTTTTTTTTTTTTGCCAGTCATGTTTGGCTTTACCCTAGGTCTGTGGGCTATCAAGTCTCCAGTTCCTGGTCATTGAGTCAGTGTCAAGCATGAGCTCCCTCTTGTGGGAGGGAGCAGCACCAGGCTCCAGTACCACTGTGTGCCAGTCACTGAGAAGGGTCCTAGGGCAGTCCTCAGAAAGCTTCATGGTCCCTGGGACCCAACAGACCTGAGCTTAACTGCCAACCTGGATAAGTTACGTCCTCATTCTGAGTTTCAGTGACTCTCCGTGGGGTCAGGGGCTATCCAGATCCCTACCTCACAGCCTCAGGGTAGGAAGTTAATGACAGAGGGACAGGGTGTATCTGATGAGCAAAAAGTGGTCACCTGAGCTCAGAGGGGTGAAGCAACTTGATAAAAGCCACCCAGCAACTGACAAAAACAGGATTCAGGCCAGCCTACAGGGCGAGATCCAGGACAGGCACCAAAACTACACAGAGAAACCCTGCCTTGAAACACACACACACACACACACACACACACACACACACACACACACACACACACATATATATTCATCCTTGGCTACAACTTGGGTTACAAGAGACCTTATCTATTAATTAATCAATTAATTTAATAAATGTCAGATCTGCCTGGCTCAAAAGCCTGAAAGTATTTTCAGACTTCTAGAATCTTCTTAGTCCTTCTAGAAGCCTGGTCCTCCAGAAAGGGGACAGGCTGCTGTCATTATTTAATTTTTTGGGAGCTGACTTTTGACCTTGTACCCTGCCAAGTCTGCCTGAAGTGGCTTTTGGCTGTGCAGAGCAGGGGCCTTGTGTCTCTGGAGATGCAAGCGTGCTCTAGCCACAGCCCACTCCCTCCCCCGCCCTGTTCATGTCTGCACAGCCAGCGACCTCTGGCGCTCCAAATGGGGCAATAGACCAGGTGCTTCCGTTCCTCCAGGCCTTGGCTCCTGCAAGCGCAAGCTCCTGCTCCAGCCTCCTTCTTGCCTCTCTCTTTCATTATACTTTTTCTATTCATTCTGGACTGGGTACGTGTGCTGCGTTTGTGTGGGGGTCAGAGGATGATTTCCAAGAGTCAGTTCTCTCCTTCCATTATGTAGGTCCCAGGGATGGAACCCGGATCCTTAGGGGGCTCCAAGTACCTTTTCCTGATAACCATTTCCCTCCTGTCTCTGCCTGGTACACAGTGACAGCATGCAAGAACCTGGACAATGTGGCTTCCACTGTCTCCTCTGACTTCTCCACGCCTCCACAGTCTGTCTTCTTGAGGATGCTGTTCTCCCACTGGCCTAGACTGGATACACTGACAATATTCCACATTAGATTTCCAGGTCTTCCTGGTGACTTCATCTGATTTACATAGGCCTTTATCTGACATTTCTTAAATTAATTGATTAATTAATAGGTAAGGTCTTTTGTAGCCAAGGACGACTTTGAACATATTATTTATTTATTTGTTTGTTTGTTTATTTATTTTTTTGCTTTTTCAAGACAGGGTTTCTCTGTGTCGCTTTGCGCCTTTCCTGGAACTCACTCTGTAGACCAGGCTGGCCTCGAACTCACAGAGATCCGCCTG